TCCGAGAATAGCATACGGTATCCGATCAGCGCAATCTGGGACCAGCCGCACACTAGGAAGCTTACAGGACTACAGTATTGAAAATTCACAGTAGTGACGCAATTTCCGCCCCAGGAAAACCATTCAATTGTCGAACAAACACTAATCTGTATAGAAAGATTTTGAGCCTTCAAAATGATTACCACAGAAAAACCAGGGGACAATCTGGTACCTCGTAAGACTCAGAATCGCTGTGAACCGAAGTCCTGCCAACTGAACTTACGAAAGTTGGCCATCGAAATAAGTCCCAGCCAAAAAAGAAACTAAAATGTACCACTCTGGTGAACGAGACAGCCGAAGTGACGGACCAGCGCCCTTCTGCCTGTGGGCCAGAAACTGGGAGAAACCAAGCGTCATCCAGTAGTGGCAGCTGAAGCCATAACTGCAAACGGCGCGGGGTTGTATTAGGCCCAAGATACTTTGACGCATGCAGCCTTGGTCAGTGGCTACCTGAACGGTTTTCACCCAGCATGCTGCCTACGGGAAAATGAGTTTCGTGTACCTTCATACTGGATAACTCTCTTCAGTGCGACTTAGATGAATTACTTTCAGGTAACTTAAAATACCCATAGCTAAACTCGGCCAAACGTCCTCAATTGAAGTTTTGTTGGTCGCTCAGCGAATAAAACCATCCGATTGTTGGGAAGCAAATGTGTCTCCGCAATTTGCAAAACTGGCGACTGCTCATCTTCCGGCAGTTGCATGCCGGTTGATGACGGGGAATATTCTGATTCGAACCATCCTAATTACAGCACCTAATTACCGACAAATTCATATTCCTAATCTCACGGAGACGGCGGACTCGTATCGGGCAACACACTTTTCGAATTCTCAAAGGCATTCGGCCGAGTTCTACAATTCTCAGTGCTCCGCAGCCTCGAGAGGTCAAAAAAGATTGCGACTATTGTTTTTAGTAGGGCTCTAGGAGTGGAAGTTGGGGTAGGCTCACTCGCTTCTGCGTCACTCTCCTTTAAAATCCATACAGAATCTCTCTGAGGGAGAATTTTCTTGCTGATCTACTTCGACAACCTTTCAAAAGTCTTCTCAAGCCTCAGTCCACTTTTTGCGAATGAATAAAAACCATAATTTCAAACCCAGCTCATTTCAGATGGATGTCAGTGCTGCACAACAGTGACCATTATACGGGCACTTTCCTCCGGGTAACGAACATGCGTCCACAAACTTTGGAAGATACATGGCATGCGCTTCTGTCACGCAAGATGACAGCGTAGCAGACGGCGTTACGGATAGATATTAAACTGGGCTTCATGCATGACCTTCTCACTCGACCACAAACAACTGGCCAAAAAGGAATCGCCGTTCGTTGGACGATTCGGTGGTGCTCACGTTGATTCCCTGACGCTACATTTAGCCTACGTCGAACCGCTATTTAAACGCACCAGATATTTTGTCTTCTCTGCGCCTATACAGCGAACTGTAGCGAAACTGGTGGCTAGTGCCGGCTAGTGGGCGACGTATTTAAGCCCTCCATACGACCCGTGTTCATTGCCTTCAGGCAGGCGGCTGCTATTACGCCTATTTTCGTGTTCGATGAAATCCTGAGGCCAATTGTATAAAGGCTCATTGGCCACATCAATATACCCTACAAGAAGACGGAACACAACCAAATGAAATATCTTTAAACAACTAACTACCAAAACCTTATTAGCCCGCGCAACACGGATTCACGGAGAACTGCCCCTCCACTACGGAGACGTTTGCCTCCACATAGAGCTTGAACCAAGCAAAAGAATTGAGACTCTTCTCAGATAACATTCAACGGCTTTTCAAATGCCTTAAATCTGATTCTCCGTATCCCATCTGTCCAGAAAAGTGATGCATTTGACTTTCGGTAAGCAGTGCTTAGACGGACTGCGAGGTATTTCGCACCGGACCTTGGGCGTAAAAATCAAAACAACTTACTCCGTCCAGCTGATGACCCTAAGAATACTTCTGTATTCTGTTGGGGTCCCAACTTCTTCTAAACGGCTTTCGTGAGTGATGCTATGACCAACCTGACCCTTCTTTTCACTGGAGACCACAAACAATAAATCCACGCCGTACACGATTCCCGACTGGATGCTGACTTGACGAAAAAGCGGGAGTTAGACAGGCGCCTCATGAAGGCTGACGAAAATTGCGCACTTATGTTACCGGAGATCCCGAAGTCACCGTGGTTTATGGTGACGAAAGGATTGGGGCAGAAACCGTTTAACGGCAAAGGTCTGCGGTTTTCCTCACTCTACCATGAGAAAATTATACCAAAGCAGATGACCAAAGTTCGCTTCCCTCAAATGACGCTCAAATTTCATGATACTGTTAGGCGTATATGTCAGAGGGCCCCTGGACTGTCTCAATCAACGCAATGAGTTCTACCGAGATAAAAGTGTTCCGTTCACAATCAGGAAGATCATTCCTAAAATTTGATCCTCAAAATATGGGAGGCACGCAAAATACCGCCCAGTATTCGCAAAATGGACTTTGTTCCTCGAAAAGTATGACATTTTTAAGGTTACCACTTCATGGTGAAGAACCGTCGTGTCTAGGAAATTCTTCTGAGATTTGTCCACATGGGTGATTTGACTGAGTGAGCGAAGCCTCAGGATCATCAATCATCGCTGACTGTAAAAACGGCGATTCGAGGTAACACACGAATCGTTTACAATGGATGATGGTTGCGGATGGTTCTGCAGCTGAAATGATTCGGCGGGCATTCTAGAATCTGAATTTTGCTTGTGGACGCAAAATATTTTATGCTGTTCATATCTTGACGAATATCGAATTGTATGCTCTGGGACCTGGATCACTGTTATTATGAGTTTTCGTTACTGAAGATGGATTCATTGTTTTCCAAAATCCAGTCCGAGGTTGAAGTAACGTGAGGGTTGCGGATGTTGGTGACCTATTATTACACCGCAAGTTCGGTGGTGAACTGCAGCGGAATTCTTCATTCTAACTGGCAAAACCTGCCAAGACGATCGTAATGTCAATTATATCAGACAGCTGAGGAACCTAGCTTACGTACACCACAAGCCCTCGCCTAAGGGTCCACGATACCTAATCACCTAGCCACCAGGAATCTACGTCCGTCATACCGGACAGCCGGACAAGAGTAGTTGGCGCACACGAGACACATCGGTCTTCCGAATTTTTGTCAGGGCCGAAGGCATGTCATCTGCCACAGTAAAATCCAACTATCGGTCACTTACTCAACATAGGTGGCCGATGCTTCAAACAGAAGTTGTACATGGTCTGAGTGGTAAGGACCTTGCCGAAGTTTCCGGCTACGATATGCCGAACTTCATACAACTGCATGGTTGTGTTCAAGATAATAAGAAGTGGCCTCCCACTGCCTCCTTAGACAAAAGCTCACTAGACAGCCGCTGCTTTGGTACCGTTTTTAAAAGCAAGTTCGCTCAGCTTGATAGCCCCTTCAGTTTCCTCAAATTTTTAGTCGGTTTTCTGACCATTTTGTAGTATAGCGAATAACGCAGCGTCGGTGTCGCTATTGTTGGCTGCAAGCAGAATTACCACACAGCCGTCCTTCATGCATTCATTTAACGGCTTCCCTACTGCCGTGAACGATGAAAAGAGGACGGCCACCAATTACTCAACGAACACCTAAAGCCGCTCTGGAGCCATTGGACATCAAGCTTAAGGGCGAATGCACGCCAATGATCAAGCGAGATTAATTAAGACAAGTCAAAACAAAAAATGAAGATAGATTACGGTGATTTTTTACCTGAGCGTATGTGCAACAAAATGGAACAGTTCCGTGTGAAATCTTTTATTTCACCCACGAAGGTCTTTCAGAAAAGAGAATTTTGCGGACGAGGTCCATCACCCGGAATAGCCTGGTTTCTTCCCAATCAAAATTCAGCCATGTTTCGGAACAAGGTTGGCAGGATCATTTACAATCCCGAACTAAACCACTGGTGTAAATATGAAGGAAACTTGTACAAAGAAGGGGTATGCAATTCACTGACGCTTTTCCTAGTTTCCGGTGTTAAGCGTATAGAACAGATCGTCTCAAAGCTTTATAACCAATGGCTCCAAATGACAGTTTGAAGCCCTTTAGTATGCTTGATTTCGTGACTCGTAGTTGACAATTTTTGGAACGCCAAAAAACGGAGAGGCAGTATTGCATTAAGTCTCTTAGGTGGAACCCGTCAACTCTGCCAACTGGCGGTCGCTGAGTCGTCCAACCCAGGAAACGAGTAACCACTGAATTACAGGACAACATTCAATCGCATATTATTCCAGCCAGTTTTCGCACTTCAGGCTCCTAGAATTCCACTGTCATATGCAGGTGAAGTATACCAGAAGTTCTCAACACACATAGAAGTGAAGAGCCTGAGTTCACGAAATCTTAGAAACCCCACCAAACAGACACCCCATCTGACCTTGAGACACCCTCGTGTAATTATACGTCTTCACCGCCAGCTTCGATTTCACGCACTGCTATCCGGCCACCTACATTTTGAGACGACTAAATTCCTGATTGGTTCGTTTTCTACATGAGATATCCACGCGGTCATTTGAATAAGTCGCGGCGGCCTGACTGCGTTAAGATTGACACTTAATAATCGTAAGGTTTTTCAGTTGCCGAAGTGTCTGAACTGCCCCTTTAAGGGTTACTGATGGATAATTCTTCGTTGAAACTGTGAATTTTGTGAAGACTGCTCTACCATAAAGAATAAGATAATTCAGTATGCAGTATTTCTTAAGTGGAATGCAGAAAAAAAGTCACCTAAATTAGCTACGAATTTCCGCTGCTTCAATTGATAATTCCATTTGTATTATGTCTTCTTAAGGGTGCAGATAGTTCAATTTTTTATGAGGTACACCCTTACTGTCAACGCTTTTTAAAATGCATGTACGTCGCTTGCAGATATGCCTGTCTGTATTGCTACTCTGATTGCAGCAAAGCTTTCGGTAACCAGTTGATCGCTTGAGTCCTTCAATGACGTCCGACCAATGAGTGATCAGTATTATTATCTCTTCTGTCCGTAGTGAACACTGTCTGGCGCTTTACTCCAATGTCCACAGTTTTTGGTTGTCCCTGTAAATATTACATCTTGTGGATCTTTCTTTCCTACTGTGCGGCCAACTCACTTCTAACAAAGGATAATGAGGCGCAGAAAACTGTTTCACAGAACGATGGTGAGTTGACGGTCTAGTATCAGTCATGTGTTGACTTATTTTCACTCAGCCGCATAGAAGCATAGCCACTATACATTCTTAGGAAGCAGAAACTTTTCTGCAGTTATTGTTTCCCTTACGACCATTTCTTAATGAGAATGCAAGCCGTCACTAGGAACAGTGTAAATCTGACGACCCAGTCTTACGTAAGGACAACATACCGGGACTAAGTTGTCCAGCGTTCAGAACCTGCGGCTGGATTTTCCAGATTACTCATTAGTCTTCCTTGTGATGTCTCACTTTTTGTGTGCATCCTATTATACTGCGCTGTAGCATGCTGGGTTTTGACCTGTTGGACCCCGTAAGGACAAGACGTGTTCGTATATGCATTGTACATCTGCGAATGATCCACAATACCACTCCAAACGTTCCGTATTTTATACACTACAGCTGAGTTAGAGGTTACTTTCTGTGACTATCTTAGTGCAGACCAAGCCTATTAATGGGTGGCACTAGCCAGCCTTTCTTGTCTTGGATGCGTCTTGTGTGGTGCGGGTCATCATACTACCTTTTGCGTACGTAATGTGACGATTCTTTCCCGCTGGCTTGGCCTGTTTACTGCTGCAGGACCATCTTTGAACTCCACTTCTTATCGCTCATCCATGTTCAAAATGGGCACATGTGAATGGCTCATCAAACTGCATGTGACATTCCCCAATATTCATGGTGATCCGTCGGCAAAGTTTTGTGACAGGTGAATGTAGAAGTGAGTGTCAGCCTACCGTACAAGCTTGAATCAGTCAGTACGTTGTGATGGGCTTTCGGAAGCTCAACTAGTACGAGGTTAACCTCAACACATATCTCGATCTCATCTAGGCCGCTATATACTTTTAGCCTATAGTGTATTCTCTGTCTAATCGTTATCAACTCCTTATTTTGGTTGATTCAGTGGTCACTCCGATGAGTTGCGGTGGTTTTGGTGTAGTTCTCAGTCTCAGAACTAAGACTTCCCCACGTTATTGAAAACCCGTAAACATCAGTGTGCTGTTCAGTTGTCACTTCCTTTGGCCATTCATGGCCGTCCAATCACCATCCGAGAAGTTGGAGGCTCAAATTTCCCATTTCGAATTGCTTCTCCCTCCATGATCCACTGGCTTATACTCTGGGCAGCCATTATAACACTCCTAAAGTCTTTATACCAGATTCGCTAGTGGATGAAGGCCATAGTAACATGCCTCCCGGACCTCCGGGCTTCGGATCGCAGTATATATGGTGACTTGTTCCTACTGCTTTGGTGGCTCAATCACAACTGCCTTGTAGTCAGGCTTTTGGACCAAAAGTTTTGGTCAATGGCCGCAGTTACGACTTCTTAGCAGAACATGTATTTGCTGGCTGCGAAGTGTCCGCAGCCGATCGGTGCATAGGTGGTTAGTTAGTAACCAGCCGGTCTATTGCAGAACAACTACGACTTTTCAGACTAAGTTGGGTGACACGTATCATGCGTGCCGGATGACATACGCCGAAAAGGACGCATTCCATTTCAAACCTTTGCTTCCGGAAAGTTCGCGGGATGAGGTACGGGTGATGACTTGTCACTACAAAATATGAGCTGCCACAGTCAAACAGTGCTGCGGGATCTTCGTGCTTCCTTAGCTGTCCCCACATTACTCTCCCTGATTGTGATTAGAAACCATACAGAACATGCCATGTAACCGATCTTAGTGATGAGCATGGCTTCACTTCCTACCTAGTCAAAGTTTGCGTTGTTCGATGATATTCGAAAAGGTCGCTGTCAACCTTACTCCTAGTCTCTTACTCCAACATGGTACTCGGATATATTCATTTGGATTTTGTCTGGAGGTACGTATAGTCTTAATCGTTCCTCCTATCGATGAGCATTTTCACTTTTCACTCTCCTGTGGCTTTCCTTCCTGTGTGTTGTATGGCGGTTGAGTATCAGTATTTGCCACTGCTATCTGTCGATGGTGATGTTGGTAATCCAGCCTGTGCAGCAGGTTGATATGTGAAGAAAATCCGGAACAGAGTTAACTTACCCCAAAGCAACAAACTGACAGTCATGAGCGAAAACGTCGTAACGAGACATCGTTGGTGTGACCTTGCTCCACTCCGTTGAGTTGCTGGTCTCTAATTGATATCACCATCGACAAGACCCGTTCAACTCCACTTCTCAATCGCCTGTGAGATGAGTTGGCGGTCATTTTCCAGATTTTAAGGTTTTGAGGACGTAAGGTTGCCGAACGTAGTCGACATTTTCAATGTTTTATCGTAGAGTGTATTTGTTGTGCAGCCATAAGTACACATTACTAAATGAAGAACAATAAAGGACCAACTTTTTGATTTTGACCAGGCTTTTGATTTCTATAAATCTCGCAGTGGAGTACAGGAGAGGGGAGAACCCGTAGGTTGGACCTGCGCAGCATTTTGGCATCCCAACACTAGCGTATGAGCCTTCAAATTTTTCTGGTATAGATGCTATCGATCACGATCACTTATCCAATCATCTCCTCGCACTTTTACTCACGTCGGCCCGTTAGGGCTGTTTCGGGAGCGGTTTTCTTCAAATTAAGTAACCCCCGGAAATTTCGATTTTTCAGGCTGGGTTTTACTGTACAGTATACTGTCTAATCCATAACCGGTGTAACAATTTCCATTTCAAACTTCCTCATTTCTTCCCCTCCTGGCGGTGTTAGGGATGGAGATAGCCACAAAGTGAACATGATAACTTGATGTATGCATCATAGCTGCTTACTAGAACCCTCCTTTCAGGTTTACATGCACAATTTTGGATCCTATAATTGACTGGTTTGATACAAGTACACACCTGAACCAATCCAACTGCGACCCTTCAAACGAATGTGAACACTGCCTGTCAACATTATACCATTTGCCGATTGTAAAACCAAACATTTAATGGAGGCCTCGCCGTTTTTCCAGTTCATCCAAGGAAATACCTAAGGCACATTTGCAGGAGTGGATACTTGAGCATCAGCTTTACGCCTTTAAGGTGATGCTGAACGGAGCTTGAGCTCGGTGAAAAGTGTGATTAACTTCTTAATGCATTTAACTCAAAGACCTTAATTACGCGTAATGTTACTAAGACCAGCTGACCCGTATTTTTTCCAAAAAAACGCTAGCGTATACTGACCTTGTCCTAGAAATTCAGGAGTTTCGTGACGAGGTACCCCATTTGTTTTTCCAGTTACATTCGCAATGTGAGGAATAAGGTGGGGTCATGATACGATGACTGGATCAACGGCAATCAGGCCGCTACCTTAGAATGGTCTCCCAGCGGACCGAGAAGCAGCGTGTACCTGAGAGCAAAGGGGTACCAACTTCGGAAACGCAAAATAACGATAAACCACCAGACTGCCCAGACATTTGAAAAGGCTCAACAATGAATATGCGCGATGACTGGCTGAAATAGACTTTCCAGCCGTGAGCGAAAAAGTTTGATATATTGCTTACAAGTAAACGTCTATTCCGCTTTCCTGCTCGAGGCCTCGGTTCGGCAAGGATATGCCGGATCCAGAGGGTATATGAGCAGTCGCGTGTGAGGGGTGTGTGCAAGAACAGGTGTTTATCCAATAGGTGGAGTCAGTCTGTGCTGAAATGGCGCGAGGCACAGTGCAGCTGTTTCACCCTTATTGAAAGTCATCAGCAGTGCGCATCTCACGAAACTCCATGGAGTTTCGAACCCGTGACCTCCCAGCTAGTGGTTTGAACCCATAACCGTTCGGCCACAAGTGGTTCATCAGCAGTGTGGTTAGCTCACACTTAGACGGGACATAACACCACTCATCTCTCAGTCACAGAATCCGTATCACGTGGGTATGGGTTGACTGGCTTCTCGAGTAACCTTTCCTCAGGGGGGAGTTTGTCTCATCAGATGAATTTTCTTCCTCTGAGGTACTTACAGATCCTTAGTAACTTGATTTGAGTTGCCATGGTGTCTTTTGGCAGCGGAGTAACTTTTGTTCCCAGCACTACCAACAGGAGGTTCCTCACGGATTTATAACATAGACCGAATCTTCTGTATGTAGTGTCCATTGTACACCGTGTGCCATTTTCTTCTTATGCTTGTATGACATTTTAATTGGACTAAAGAGAACCGTATTGTACTACTGCAGCGGTTAGTGTCGACAATCAAATTTTCCAGATCAACTTCGCATGACCCTATTTTGCAAAAAAAGGAACTTGATAATATGGTGGAGTAGTTTTTATCTGCCTCAAATTGGTCTACTCTTTGTCTTGTGTCTTTTCAAGCGGATTTTGTTATCCTTTTCAGAAAAAGTCACCTCTGGAGTCCCTGAACATGATTCCCCCATGGCAGATAGTGAGTCAGCCGACTCAGTAGAGCCAAAGGCAGAAGGTAACTCTTTCCCCAGCAACAATGTTATCTTTTCAGTCAAGCGCTCGGATTCAGATGAGCCTGAAGAACCAACAGCACCGGCAAAGTCCGAGGGTATGTGCACCTAGATTTCGTTTCTTACGTTGTAGCACAACGCTTGTATGAGGAGGGTATGAAAATACTCGACGAAGGAGATACCCAAGCAAACGTTAGAAAGATGTAAGTTTCGGTCTTTGAGCGAAGTGATGTGCATCCCCATCCTTGTCTTTTTATAGATTGTTACTGAATAACTGTACTCGCCTTACGAATAAGTTTGCAAATTAGTCCGCATATTTCCTATTAGTCGTGTCTAGCGCAAAGGCTGATGAGGAGCCAGGTTACAGGATCATGTCGGTGTATGTTACTTTACTGGCTTATCGTAGACTCCAAGTCAATACAGAGACTAAAGAGTCCTGGACACATGCTAACTCATTAGCGCCATTTGACGACCCAATGGCCAAATGAAACCAAGGTAGGGTAATTATTTCGGCTACTTCATGGGCACTTCAAAGTGGTTGCTAATGCCATGCTGACGATCTGTTTAACTGTTCACGAAATAAAGAAAAAGATGTACTGGAATATCCCCACCTCATTCAGTATTAGTGAGGTATGAATTGTACACTTCGTGTGACATTAAACTGCGCTGGTTGTTGCTGATGAAAATGCTTAGAACAAAGTTACGTAACTCAACGTTTCGATCACCGTAGGTGATTTTAGTCAGGAGTAGAATAATCGGAATCACAGAGAACAAAGGAAACCGTGACTGACTGGTATCTACCATTATACGGACAACTTAGAAATGGGTATTTGCTTGGCCTAAGTGTGACAGTAACGTTCCCAGAACGAGTGTTTCCACTGATGTTTATCCGGGGTATCCAGCTCCGATGCAACCTGCTTAGGACAAAAGTTAGAAGTGCTCGGCATGGTCATGGTGGCCAGACGATCTTATGTCGTGGAAACTGGCCAACCGGAGAGTTTGGTGCATATTTTGCAATCCTGCTGGATTACGCATGATGCCAGATGTGCTCGTCATAATCGGGTTGCAAGGGAACTTGCAAAACGTCTCCGTCGACTGGGGTACACCGTCTTCGAGGAGTTGAGAGCCCCTACTTCT